AAATGCCATATATGTAGCGCACATATAATTGCCTACAATCATTTACATTACACAGCAGCGGAGGTTCAGCACTCTGTGTGTTTTATGTATTGTCGTGACATTAAATTTAATACACATCATAAATTACATCATCACGTAAGCCACAGCACGAGACACTCAGCATTCAGCATTCAGCACCCAGAGCTTCGAACACGAGTCATAAACAAGTTTGGCATATTTGATAAAGCAGTTTATAGATATGTATATGGTTATGGTTACAAATTTAACAACCAGACCATTAGAATACAGAGGCTGATCATAGTTTGTGTATAAACTTTTCCAATTCAATTGCCAAAAAAGGCAAAGGGAGCAGCAATCAATGCGCCAGTTCAAGTGTCTGCGACAAAAAATTCGCGAGTGCAGAGCTCCGTCGTCTGCTGCCTTGTAATTTGAGTGATGAATGCTCAACAATTGAACAATTGTTGTACATACTATAGAACAACGTATAGAATACGCGAGTACTCCTAACTGATGGTCAGTCGTTGGCGCATTGTTGTTGTGGTCCAGTGCTTGTCGTCTGGCTGTTTGGCATTGCCAGTATCTGGCAGTATTTTGGGGTGGTGGTGCATAGAAATGCACAGCGAAACACAAAACACAAAACACTTTTGCCAACTTCGTTTGCATTTTGATGACAGACATCGTCGCCCAACCCGATATAAAAAATTTCAAAAACAAAAAATGCCGTATGGCATGCGATTGAACATTGTTGATTTTGTTCGTTTGGCAATTTTAAACATTCGCGCGCTTTTGAGTTATTGACTCGCGCCTTTGTTCGAAATGAAAGCTCCCTGCCGTCTATGGAATTTATGTTCCAAACTGCGGCATTTTCAAAGGCAGCAGCAGACACATAACATTTACTTTTATTTTCGTTTGAATTTGGGGATATCAAAATAAATTTTAATTGACAGACTGCTCTTTTAATGCTTAAAACTGCGAATAAATTACAAAACAGAGAATAAATTAGGACGAGTGTAAAAAAATTGAAGCCAAAGAGTGACAAAAGTACAAGCAGCTCTAAATTCCTTACAGCAATGTATGTTTTAAAACATTTTCCAATCGCAAAATATTTCAATTTTTTATTGCTGAAGAACATTTTTGCAGAATGTTAATTTTATTTTCTAAATTTATTTTTCCAAATTTATTTATTGGTCTTAATTTGTGCAATAACCCATCCAGGAACTTGTATTTATAACACCCTTACGCAGAAAAATGTTCTTGAGAATTATAGTTCAAAATAAGAAATACTACATCAGAACTAAGCCAATCATTAAAGAGATTCAAGTATTGCTTACAATTTTGGCGTCACTCGCGTTCTTCATTTAAGATTTAAAATTTGTATACAAATCTTTTCAGATAATAGATCCCCGTTTTCCCGTTCTTAAGCGAACGTAATGTTTTAACCAGAATTTTTAATAGTCTTTAAATTGTAGGCTGGATGAGATATTCATTATTGTGTTAGCTAACTTTTTATTTGATTCAAAAGAATATATTTATTTGTTAGTCAATTGGAATTCTTATTAGAAATACAAGTACGTAATCATATAACTAAAGTATTAATACCCCAAGAAATATAGCGACGTCGCTGTCTTCTTAACGAGAGCTTCCTTGAGTCCTTTAATGTCTAAAATAATATATACATATGCTACTAATTTAAGCAAAACTAAATTTATTATAATGCGAGGAAAGAATCTGATCATTAGATCATTTTATTGATAATGCCAGAGCTACAAACGACTGGATTTTCATTTCAATATGTTCAAGTATTAAATATTTTCTTTACTTTTGACATTACATTGACAATTACAAGGAAAAATAAAAAGTATTAAAGCAAAGGTCTGTGCCTATTCCTATTTAGACTTACTCTTTATATATAGGATAGCAAATATAAAGGAACAAACGAAGCAAGGATTTATTTCGATTGTATTCTGCATTTCCTTTTACTAAAGGAAAATTTAGTTATCTTCTTACTATATTTATAACTTCATTAAAGAAAGGACAGTTTTAATATTTTTTTCGCTTATATTGTTCAGTTCCGTTATTGTTTTACATAGCGGTTGATGATACCGGTTTTATTTCCTGACTTTAATTTAGCTTTGTGACAAGCCAACTTTTATTGCATCCTTGTTTACCGGCTCTGATTGATCCCTGACGTGTTCGTTTATACCACTTAACATCAGTATTTAACGTGAACGCTGAGCTTGAGCTTTTTTTCATTCTTCGCTATTTTTTGTTTCTTCAGTTTCAGCCAGTTTGTCAGTTTTTATGCCTTGACTTCCGTAAATGGTAACAAGTATTTAAGCTTTTTTATGTTACAGAATTTATTTTATTTACGTGTTGTTCTTTATTTTTTTTTTGCGTTTCAATGCCTCAACATTTCCATTAAAAAATATCGATGCTGGTCGTTGTTGTCGTCATCATCGTTTTTGTTGCTGTCACCGTCACCGTCATCGTCATCAGTTTATGTTGTCATCATCGCTTTAAATTCGCAGCCCCTATGTCTCTGCTCGGTCCACCGTCTGCCATGCTGTATTTAAATATTCATAAGGTGTGCACTTTTGCTTATGTCGCATTTATTTCTGTTTTATTGGGTGAGGCTGCGAACGGTGCACAACGCATTTGAACTATTCGAATATGTACATACATTCATTCCAGTATGTACGGGCCTTTAAGTAGATCTGCACTCGCATGTCGCGTTTCTTACGTCAGCTGAGAGCGGATTATTGGAGTAGTTTTTTGTTTAGCCAATTCCCAATTACAGTTCTTTTTCTTGTTGAAGAAAAAAGTGAGGATATCTCGTACTTGTCGGTCTCGGTCTCTTTTACGAAGTTTATTTGGAGTCCTTAATTCCGTCGTTTTTCGTGTGAATTTAGTTGATTGAAAAGAGACTGCTGCCCAATTTTTCGTTTCTCAACACATCTCGGGGTAAACGGGTTTACATATAATTGTATTTTATGTTCATATTCTTGTTTTTATAACTTAATAGATATTGTCCACTCGTTAAGTCATATTTAGAGCGTTTTATTACAGATAGAGGAAAGGAAATTATCAGAATGTTGTCAAAAAATCAGAAACTAGTACAAACAAGAATCAAATTTATTCCACTGCTGTCAGGAAGGAAGATAGGAAGCCGCAGTGGCGCCCTTTTTTATAAAATAATATCGAATAATACATTATACTAAATATAATAAATGTGCATCGAATATTTGCTAAATAATGACAGCTTTTCGATTTCAATTATGTGGAGGGCCGTGAATTTTCATTCTTTTGTGATTCATGTAAGCATATCTTACAATTTTAAAACGATCAGTCCAGTAGTTTTGACGTCTATTAGAACTGATAGACATTGACTTCGTTAGTTAGTTAGTTAGTTGGTTTGTATGAGAAGCGCAGAGCAAGACTGTGGTTTTTATTAAATATTAGAAATTAATTTTTGAAATTAATATAATTAATATATTTAAATAAGTTATTGGTGCTCTATAGGCATAGTACATATAATATAATTAAAAGTCTTTAATTCTATGGAGTTTTGATTCATTTTTTTTTCTAGCCATCTCTTATCGTTCTTACTAAGTGATAGAGGACAGTTCTCCCCTAGCTACCGGTAGATGGCGCTGAGAACCAAATTTTATGATTTGTTAGATTTCGATCTCAAAAGACTGTTCTTTTTCTTTTTACGTTCTGTCTCTCTCAATTTGTTACGTGTAATAGTTAAAAAAAAAAACCCAAAAAGAAAAAAAACAGCGTGTATTTGTCCTATGTATTTCAATAGATTCTGTTTACGGCCATTTGATCATTTTATATTATTTCAATTATGTTGTGTTGTTTTAGTTTATAAACATAAATGAAACCTTTTTAAACCTAATTAGTTTAAACTAAAGTGTTGGTTGCACCGAGCTGCAGTATTTCCTACCTGTGTACCCGTAAATTTATTTATTAGGCTTCTTTGAATTTAGTTTTCAACTTTTATTTCACAAATTTGCAGCCAAGCAATCAAATCCGCATTCAAGCTCAAATATTTGAAAAGCTGCAAACCAATTAAATACAATATATTAACATCTTAAATAAACTGAAAATCGTATTAGGATTATATTTCATTCCATTGCAGAAGACAAATTTATGCTATTTTATTTATCCGATTTTGAATAAAATACAAGTTGGTTGGGGTCGATTGTGAATTCCTTAGAATCACAAATAACGCAATATTATTCTTTTTCTATCCATAGCTTCTCAAGTGACTAATCCTGCAGCCATTGTTAGCATCAGAGTCTGCTTCACTAATTAACTGTTCCAGTCCAATAAGTACATCACATGCTTTTAGCTTCGACATACATTCAATGATTGATGGGCATTCCTAAAGCAGGCAATTAAACAAATAAAATGTCAAATATGCGCCAAAGGCAGTCATCAAATCAATGAGCACAATATTTCTCAGACAACAAACAGAGATAGATGTGAGTGTAGGCCGAATTGGTCCGTTGGTTTGGGTCAGAAAAGGAGAAGCGGAATGTCAACAACATCTTTAAACACGAATTAGGCGAATAAAAAGGCTGTAGGCATAAGAAAGGATTTATGGATGTTTTCGATACAAAAGCAAATAACGAGAAATGTATACTTATATGTATCTGTCTGTATTGGGTTTAGTTTGTTTGTATATTTTGTGCACCACTAAGAAAATAAACAGGATTATCGAAAGATTGATAGATTTCCAGTTGGCATCTCTACCCATAAGTGGATGAGAGTGTGTGTGTGTAAGTCTTCCGTTTTTATTTTGGGGTCTTAATGTCACGAAAGGCAGCGAACAATTTACAGGAAATTGAGTTGTTCTTTAGTTATTTAGCTCATGTAGTTGTTGGCAGCTTAGTCGCCATTTGATTGATATATTGTATGTTTTAGTAACAAAAAACAATTTATAAGCTTACTATTAAACGTCCATCTTTTCTTGTTCATGTCCGTCTTTTCAGGCGCTGTGCGGCGTTGTGTTTCAAGTTCCTACAATGTCCGGCGATAAGTTGCGCATCAGCACCATGCAGGAGATTATTAAGCCGAACACCGTGAAACGCATACAAGGCTATGGCTTACCCTTCCCGAAGGACACCACGCGCAAAGGTGATCTACTTGTGGCCTTCGATATACAATTTCCGGAGAAATTGACTGCCGCACAAAAGGAAGTGCTCAGGGATATGTTATGAAAATGATATTCATAATGGAGTTATTGTTCAAGGATGTAGAAGGAAAGTGTGTGCGATTCACTCACCCAGTCGAAATGCCTACTTAGTTATAGGAACTAAAAATAAAAATAAAAAACAATACCAGAAATTTGTCATTGCCAAGTTTATGCGAAGCCAAAAAGGAATTTCAGTTTCACAAACTTCAGATATCGCATAAACATGGCTAGTTTATGTATGTGAGAGATATAAGAGCAGTTGTCATCAGTTATTTTCTTTTTAGGCGCATTTCATTTGTGACGTTTTTTACAGAACTTTTTAACGTACTCGTATGCATCAAAAGTTTGTGCTCAGTTGCAATGTGTTGATTATAGTTAACGTTTACCACGTAATACTTAATTTATTTGTCTAAATTAAAGCTAAAATAATAATAATAATATTAATAAAAACAAACTATAAACCATGTGTCTACACACTTTTCTTCCTCATAATTATAGTATACGAGTAGAAATTAACAGCTTTGGCAACGAAAGCGAATTCGTCTGCACAATTAGTGCCCGAGCTCACAGGCTAACTGGGAGGACACAATGCTCGTTAAGTCATTAAAATTGCATGAAATCAAAACTTTATGGTCTGCAAAGTTTACGTCAAAGCGACTAAACCCAAAAAAATATAAAAACTCCGAGTGCAGAAGAAAGTGTACGACAACATCAAAGCCGACAAATGGTAATTCATTTAATTTGGTTGCAAGTAGACACACACACACACACACATACACACAGAGGTTGCCTTTAAGGGGCAGAAGAACAAGAACAAGATGAAGCGGCAGTAGAAGGCCTGTCAGCAAACGCATTTCATTTGCAGACAATAAAACAAGGAAACAAGGAAACAACAACAATAACGGAGGCAATAGCAACAACAACAAGCACTAAAGTAAATAAATTAAATTTTGAACAACTCTTTGCATACAAAATAGACGCAAACGCGAGGATAAAAGCCAAAGCAGCCAAGTCCTAGCCTCAGATTTCAAGCACATGCCACAAGCTGCTGCTGCTGCTGCTGCAACTGATACCAAAAAGAGTGTGTGTGCATGAGAGAGAGAGAGAGAGGGAGAGCGCGTGCATGCCAGAGGCAACACAAAGTTCAATATACACGTGCCTGCCTGGGCCTCAAACTTTGTAACAATTCGTTGCGATTTTCCACTTATTTTAAAAATCGAACCAAAGGCGAAAACCTCAAATGGGGGGACACATTGCACAGTGGTTTGGATATTTCTGAAGTGTGGTGGAAATAGAAATGAACAAGTTTTTAAATGTTTTGGGTATTTGAGAAGTGGAATTTCGTTCCCTATTCTCTTCACTAACTATGTTCATTGCCAGTTAAGTTTCAGTTACGCTACGCAGCCCTGGCCGGACGCTCACGGTCAGCCAATTTTTGTCTGCCCAAGAGAAGTGTCCGCTTAAGGGGTTACTTACATACTTTGTACACCGATCGAATGTTTTTAGAAAAAGTGTCCGCCGAAGAGAGTGTCCGGGTAGAAGAGGTGTCTATTAAGGGAGTTTTCACTGTATGTAGATCTGCTGAAGGAGCCAGGTAGATGCTGTAGCTATTCATACAACAACTGCAAAAGTGATTGTCGATTAGAACATTCCCGAAATTGTTGTGTAGCTCTTAAATTTAGGATTACGAAGAAGAAAATTGATACTCCTGACGGTATGTCTTATAGTCACATTACTCTGCTTGTAGTTTTGACTTTAACGTTTAAAGCCGATGATTCAGGTTTTGTCTTCATAAGAAATACATAGGCTGCTTTAGGTAGGTTAGGAGCAATAGCATCCCTTGCCATGTTGCATGCGAATTTTTTAATCTATAGACAGGGAGTATAGTGTACTATATACAAAGAACTGCTCGTATATGTAACGGGCAGAATAAATCATGCTCCTTATCACCTTAACGAGCTAAATTGATCTAAAAATGTCCGTCCGAGTGGATGAGCTCCTATTAAAAAAACTATAGCCTCTCCAAGTCCGTAGCCAATATGACAATGAATTTGTTTTATTGTTCTTCTTTTTTATTTTCTCCCCCTTATCAATTCTACAATACCATAAAAATCATAAATTTAACATTGTATGTACGTACATAAGTAGTTCACAGTTCATCCAAATCTTTTAAATAAATTTGGTTCGAACACCTAAATTTGAAGCTAAAGGCTCACTCTAAAGAAGCTGCAGCATCGGTAATAATATGTCAAATGTTTCAAAACTCTTTTAAGTCATTAAAGTTTCTGAATCTAGTAAAAAGTTCACAAAAATTAGCGAAAAATGTAGGTACTATATGTCTATAGATCTTCCATTCAGATTTGTTTGTAATTAATAATGAACTAGAAAATAATTTGATTTCTTAATCAATTAAACTCTTTTTCTTTGCTGCGTAATTTATATACATAACCGTTTGTCCGTTCGTCTGTCTGTCTGTATGATCCCAATAATTTCAGAATGCATGCGAGCAGGAGTTACCGAGTTTGGAATGCTGGAAAGGTACCAATAATGAAATGTAATGAAATGCAATAAATTTAAAAAAAATACAGATTTTGAAGAACTTTCGTTCGTTTAGGGATCTTTGGAAGTGGAAAGTAACTGTATTTAAATATTACCGCATCTAGATCCACTGTGGCTTGGCCACATTTTACACTGTAGGCGCACGATAAAGAGAATGACGTGGCGGCAGTTTTTGTGCGGAGCAAATCACAGAAAATCATCGACAACTGGCAAATGTGTGAATTGAATTTTCAAACAATTTTGCGACGCAGGCAAACTGACAGGCAGCGTGCAGGCGAGCAGACAGGCTGGCCGGCAGGCGGGCAGGGTGGATTCCTGGTAAGTAAAGTGCAGCCATGGAACCAACCAACCAACTATATAGGAAGATGGGCACGGCAAGGAAAGGCAAGGCAAGGCAGAAACGTGCATGATTTGAGATTTGATTTTCTGTGGCCGCCATCGATGGCGTTTCTGGCATCGTTGCCATTGCCGCTTGTGGTTCGTTCCATTTGGTTGTTGGTTGCCATTTTGGCTGCGTTACAGTCGCGGCTGCCCTTTTTGTTTGAAATTGGTTTACAAATTTAGCTCACGTTTCGGATGTTTATGCCATTAGCGTTTAAGTTGCCATACAAAACGCGTCTCGTAAATAACAATTGCTTTTGTATGCGATGGTGGCGGCTGCAGAGTCTGCGATCCTACTTCGGGCATTACTCGTATTTGATTTTGGTAATCGATGCCATTGGCAGTTATTGAAAAGAGCGCCCAAGCAAAAAACCAAGTGCGCATTGTAATTAACTAAACCTAATTGCACATAAGAAGGCTTTAAATTTATCTTAAAGTAGAATTATCTAAAGCTATTCAACTTGTAGCTTCAAGTATCTATGGCTCTTGATGCGGTCGTCGATTGTTGGAGCCTGTTAGGAGTGGAATTGATGAGTGTTTGAATTGTCTGAGAGCTTACCTATTTTGGATTACTGGTGTGGTACACAAATGTTTCTACGCTGGCATCAGGGAGTGAGCGATTAGTGTGACACTCAACGGTTTGAAGCCCTTTTAAGATTTAATCTCAATTGGTTTGTTAAAATAGTTTAGCAGTCGGAACAGTCTAGTAGAGGGATTCTAGCCCCTATAAACATTATAATAAAGTTTTAGAACCCAAAAACTTCCAAAAGTAAAATACTAAGACTAAAATATTATCATCCCCAATGAGAGCACGAAATGAAACTCATCTGACCAGCTAAGTATGCTAGAAATGCAAAACACCTTCAATAATTCGGAAGCAACTTGTCTATTGAAGTGAACTTTTTTTCTCGCCTTTACAAAATAAATACGACTGAGATATTCAGGAAATGAGAACAGAATGTGAGGCCAAATTAGAAGGTAATAGGCCTCTGAGTTTTTTAAGTAGCTAAGTAGTAAGTAGCCTCAAATTTCTAACTGATATTTTAATAGTATATCTCATCTCCAGGTAGCAAGAATAAATTTGAGAAATACTTAATATGCTGGTTCTGTGAGTTATAGTACCACACTTTCCATTAGTATAAATTTTTCAGAGGTAAGATTTCAACCTTTACTAGCTGCTTCAGAATGATCTTTACGACCAGACTGATCTGTTCATTGTCCAGACAAATAGTATGTATGATCTATTCAATTTTATAGCTGTCAATGAGAGTTCGTTCCTTGAATCGGTTAGAATCACATCGCAACCATCATGATTAATAGAATAAAATTTAATAATTTTCCAACCTAGGACAGATCTTAAATAAGGATTAAAAGATCTAAAAAAAAGAGAGTTTGAAAATATAGTTTTTCTAAATGGAAAGTACCAGGTGGCAAAGGGTACGAAGTTATTTGTGTGTTGTATGTTTTAAAGCCATTGTATCGTTAATGTCTTTCAAAAAATCACCCTGGAGGATGCTTTTTAGATACGATTTTTGTTTTCATGACAGCCGCACCAGCTACACTTGGGAAGAGTTTAACCGGCTGGCCTATCAATAAACTATAACTCTGCACAAATAACTATATGATAACTTTTTACCCTTTGGTTACAAGCTATAAAAAGCCACTCTTATGTACCAGGTTATCCCCAACTTGTAGAAAACGTCTGTTAAAATAGTACATTCTCACAGTTTGTTTGGAGACTTGCTTGCAATAATTGTGCAAAGTTTTTAGCGCATTTGATGGATCCACTAGAATTATATGAATACGACTGATTTAGTACAAAGTTGAATTTAATGTTACAGACTAAAAGCAGGCAACCGTTTTCGAACACCCACGCATAAAAACTTGTAAGCCAAACTCTTGGAATGTATGTATGTGTGATTGAATTGAGGTTCAGCCATAAGAATGACACTCGCAAGAACAAGAACAAGAACAGCAATAGGTATCACAAACATCCACCTCCGTTTTTGGTGGCACTGCCTGTTGCTTGAAGCGCCTATTGCTGCCCCCGGCACTTGCCACTTGCTTTAATTTCTCATGCGCCGCCTTGTGCAGTTGTTGGATGCGCGCCCGATATGTTCTGAATTCTTTGGTGCTATTAACCCCCTTGATTTCATAAACGCAATTCGATTGCACGCTCACAAAAGGCGCTGCCTCTGCACACTCCACCAAATCGATGCCAGTCTCATAATCTGGTTCAAAGTCTGAGCTCGACTTTCTCCATCTGTTTACTTTGCGTTTCTTGGCACGTTTCTTTTTCTTCGAACCACTCGAGATCTTTGTGAAGCTGAGGCCCGAGATGGCGGCCTGTATTTCCGCCTCATAGGAGTTCTGACGATCGGCGGCCTCTTGTTTCATTTGTGATACCAAATTATAGCGATGCTTAATATCGTCAATGATCTTCAATGTCTGATTGAAGGTCACCTCTACTTGCTCCACAGCGCGCAATGTGTCCCAAAGTAATTGCTTTTTCATCATTTTGGCACAAAGAATTTATTATAAACTACGATACGAAATAGTGAAATAAATTAACTTCACTTTTGACATTAAAGTTTAAGCTTTCTATGCTTTGTTGCTAGAAGTGCTGCTTCGCCTAATGATGATGTCCAGGTCCCTGGTGTCCAGGTCCATGGTCTCCTGGCCCGTGAGGAGCTGGCTTGTGAGGGGGACCTCCATGGGGTGCTGGCGGATGATTCGGTCCATGCGAGGGAGAATGGTGAGGATCGTGGTGTGGACCTGGCATGTTTGTAGTTCTTAGTTTTGCGATATTTCAGTAAACCGTTCAACTAGCTGGCGTATTGCGTACTAACTAATTACGGCAGGTCTTGCATATTTATATGGTTGACAAAATTGCTATAACAAGTATCTTATCTCTGCTGATAACACAACAAAAATACTTTTAATGGCACTGGGCGAATGCGCTTTTTATTTTTATAGGATTTCCCACCTTAATAAAGATATGAGGGGCAAGCTCGTTTTATGATATGGCTGACTATCTGGTGTTTTGTGACACTTTCTATATCATGAATCATGAGTAACACCACTCATGGGCTTTTTGCACTATTTGTAGATATCAAAGACGTATAATTCTATAAATTTAGCTAAATAAGCTGGGCTTAAGCAGTCGTGATAAGAGACTTGCATTTATAAGCTAATTAATGGTTGTTAAAAAACATAAGTGAGTGAATGCATTATAAATTTGATGTATTGGACGAGTGATGAGTGCCATTAGGGGCCAGAAAGCATATCAGTTATATGAAATACCTGGGTTATCTTATCCGGTCGATTAGTTAAATGGCTTGTCAAATAGGGGAGATAATATTGGAGATATAATATTTGATTCCATTCGAAAACTAACACTTGAGGTACAGAATATTACATTGTATGATATCTTTCTTCGTTTTCAGTATGTTTTTAATTGAAATGTCTCGCAAATGCAATTGTAAGGTATGAAGGCGTATATATCAATAATTTATTATTAAAATTATTATAAAAGTTAGTTAATTACTTACTTAATTAAGTTATAGTAGCGAGGGCCTTAAGCTTATGAAAGTGTATTAATTATATACATTTATTCGATTTTAGCTTAGGTATAAGGAAGCTAAAAATATTGATGGGTAATTATATTAGGTGGATTTAAGGAATGCTATTGTTTGTTGGATGTTAGTAGGTGCTGTTATTTTGTTATTTGGTTTATTGACGGGTTAAAATATTTGGATCTTTCTATTTGGAATCGGGGGCAAGAGAATCATAAAATAAGATAAATATCTTGATCATTCAAAATTGTAGCAACTTAAATCTGAGAATACAATTTAAAGCAATTTTCAATAAAAGGCACTGAAATGAGACAAAAATAAAAAAACGAAAAAGTCCAAGTCTGGGGTATTACTAACCATAAGAGTTTTTCTAACCGCATGAAGTAATCACTTACTTGGAAATTCCGGCCATGACTACCTTAAGTACTTTTCCACATACTTAGAGTGAGTGTTCACTTATCTGTTTGAAAAAATATAAAATACAACAATCTTATCAACTTAGAATGTTGTAAGTATATACGAATTGTTTGAGGCAAGTGATTAGGAGTAGTTTCCATTAAATCAATGAGGCATTGCTGTCCTGTTCCTGACCTCTGTGGAGTGAAGAAGTGAAGATACTTGGGCCCTAACCTCAAGCCATCACTCAACCGCTTAATAACTGTATTTCTATCACTGCATGTCGGACTGGCCGGACTGGCAAAAACAAACAGCAAATAAAATTTATAACAAATCTAACACACATACTTCATTTTGATATGCCAGTGGAGCGCACATCAGGCACGTATTCTTGTCGGGGTTGCGCATATTTGCTCAAGGCATAGATACCCCTCTCACACACACACACACACACATGCACTGAGAAAAGTGCACAAGCACACAGACACATTAATTTTGTGCGAGATACAAGTGCTCGCTTTCTAACCGCATGCAATTTTTCTTGGCGCTGCTATCGCTTTTCAATGGCAGGAAGTGAGCGTTGGTCGCTGCCAAAGGCACATCCTTCAGCCAGTCTGTTCATCCGTTCCTCGGTCAGGCCGTCAGTCAGTCCGTCACAGTGTAGTCAGTTAGTCAAGTCAGCTTGAACGGCAGCAGATAAGTGTGGTTGGCTGCAGCACGCGCTCTCCCAACCCCTTCTTAGAAGGGCTGATGCTCAATACAGTCAATAAATTGTGCCACCAATTGTGGTTGCTGACCGCGCCACCAGAGGAGGAGCTGTTGCCGCTTGTGCTTGGGCTCGGAGCTAGCGATTGCACTTCTTGGTTAACTGACCGCCTTTCATATGCAGCTAAATGCTAACCCCTGACTAGAGATGGCAGAAAATTAGAAACGATTGCTTACTCAAGCGTAGTCAGCATTGTGCAACCACTGAAGGAGAAGGGCAAAGAGTTTCCTGCTATAATAGAAAAGGAATCAGCGACATCGCCGATGTTCAGCTGGTGGTCAGTATTAGGAACTGTTCTATAGCGCGCCATAAATGGTAGTTTAGTAGATTAGTAGTTTTCTGGAGTATTATGGCAAATAAGTGATGGGATTTCAGTTTAAACAAGAAATTTTTTATTTTGAATTATATTATATACATATATATAAAAATTACTACAATAGTCTCAAATTGATCAATTCTAGGAATCGTTTCCGTGGTTGTTATATTTTATCTCTTTAATAAATATTTTAGGTAATGGGCAAATTATTTTTAATTTTAATTTGATTAAATTAGCTCAAATATATTGTATGTAAACATACTTGTATATATTTTTACTTACTTTTTAAAATTATGATTATTTCTCAAAATACTAGTTTACAAATTAATTTTAAATAATATACATTTATTATTAGTATTATAATTATAATCAAAAAAGGTATACATTTAGTCTAAAGATTTTGAGAAGGAGGAGGAATAAAAGGGTTCAATTGTATAAACGCTTCGAATTTTAAATAATTTACATTTAGTATTAGTATTATAATTATAATCAAATAAGGTATACATTTAGTCTAAAGATTTTGAGAAGGAGGAAGAATTATAGGGTTCGATTGTAAAAACGCTTCGATTATCTAGATTGCAAAAGCTAGACATTCCAAGTTTAGAAAGTGAGCTAAACATACTTATTGTACTTATTACAGCGTGCTTCAACTTGGAAAATATTTCACTCAACTACTTCCATTCGATATGAGAATTCTCTTAGATAAAATATGTTTAAAAAAGTGCTTTATTAAATGCGTTTGCCCACAGGCAGGATCAAGTATAGCTGTCATTTTTGAACTCAATTTTCTGCTCCTACACTCTTACACATCTCTCACACAGACCCATCGCCAATATCCTGGCCAGGCTCATGACAAAATTGATGTCGGGCATTTTTCTTGGCACTGCCCTTTGGTGCTTAACAGAAATCAATGTAACTGCCACACTTTAAGGCGTCTGCCCGGTCGCTCGCTCTAATGAAGCTGCTCATCTCAGTTCAGTGCACTTGATTAAAATGCCGAAGATACCGAAGCAGGAGAGAATCAAAATGTTGCAGCCTCCGCCTCTGCCGAATTCCACTGCAAATTCATGTTTATTAAAAGCTCATTAAATTGTTTTTGCTGTTGCTATTTTGCTATGCTATGCTATTTGGAAGTCGTGGAAAAATATCTTTAATAAGCACAGTACTCCACTTTTTCCCCTTCCCCCAACAACGCAACCTACATATTTTCTCTCCTAATATAAAACATGATGGGTGGACTGAATCGCGCCTAGACAGAGGAACATTTTAATTCGCTCATCACTCGTTTTCCACGCCGCTTAAACATTGTTTGGCATAGCTACAAGATTCTTCAACTCAGCGGAAAATATGTTATTAATTCAAATTAATATAATACATTTTTTCTAGTTACTGGCATGCCAGGAAATGAAACTACTTTCTCAATGCTCAGCGTTGCTTTGAGGAAAGATGTTTTCCTTTTCCGTGCACGGATATGGTATGCGAGTATGTAGGGCAGTTGTTTTTTTGTCTTTTGTTTTGCTGTTGCTGGGCTCGGCAGTTAGGGGAGTGGGAAGGCGTTTGGTTTTAATAAATCCTAGATATGCGTTGTGTGGCAGACTTAAATTTCATACATTTTTCACTCTTTTGATGGTGGTGCTTTATATCTAGTGGGTGGTTTGGCTTGGGGTTTAAGAGCAATGAATGAGAAATGAAGATTACTTAGACTAATATAGTGAATTTCTGATCGGGTGAGCTTGATATTATTTTTAAACGTCGTGTGACAAGCTTACGAATTTGGGACGAGCTGATGTTTTCATTTATAGCTAAATATTTGACAAAATGTTCACGTTAGCCATGGATTTTTCACAGAACCGAGATATAAATCCAATGGATAACCTTTGGGGGGTTCTCTTAAATAAGGCTTATGCCAGTGGGATGCAGATTAATACTTTAAAGAATCTCAAAGTAGCTACTGTCCTGGAATGGGTTAAAAATAAGAAAAAAGTGCTTTAAAACCTAGTAAATTCAAAGGAGTCTCGTATAATTAAGGTTATAAATAATAATGGAAGTCGATTTAATAAAACCCAAGTAACATGATATTAAATATAATAATAAAACAATGTTTTGTTATTTGTCCCAGCTACTTATTTAGCTTAAGCAAATTAAGCTGCAAACTTTTTATACTTGTATTACTATTAGGAAAAAAAAGTGCAAAAATAAAGTACTAGAAAAGCCTAAGAAGGAGAAATCTAATCAAATTACAATAATATCTAATTAACGCCTCCGACCAGGTGGGGGGAATATTATCTGCCCTTCGGCTAGCAGTTTATTTCGTACATCTTAGATACAAGTCCAGCTGCATTTAAATTACCTTCGCCCAACATGCCAGTTCTTCGATACTGGTGCTATTTAATAGAAAGTCTATAGCATGTTGCTAATATTACACTCCAGGGACTTGCCCTCTCGACAAAATCGTTAAATTTGGAAGACTACAAATATACTTGTTAAAAATAAATAATATATTTTATTGATTTTCTGAGTATACTACCAATGGCTGTAATCTAGAAAGCCAATACGGCAGTGATTTCAAAAAAATTAAAAATATAACAATGGTTTTGAATTTTAAACCACTGTGTTTGAATCCAATAAAGGAGAGCTAGCCATTATCGAAACACTAAATAATTTGAATGATCCGGTATGCAGTCACTTTTTTGTAAATACTGGTCTTCCTGGATACGAGCTAGATCGTCAGTCTATCTGCCAGTAAATCTTTACTATGTAATGGCACCTATGTTCGTTCTAAGATAACTTTTAAAAGATAAAAGCCTAAAAAAATTATTTAAAGGCATCATAATGGTCGGCAATGTCGATTGTCAATTCATATACATAACTTATAAATATAACTACATTTTCCGCTTGTTGTAAAAACTCTATGCAATACTATAACAAAAATAAAAACAAATTTCACTGCCGAAGAACAGCAAGATTCAACTCCATGTTATTTCCGAGCAAAACACAATTTCCCACTTTTGAATTAAAGTGAAATTTCCACTTTTACTTCGATTAAATATTTACGTTAACAACAATGTGAAAATGAAAGCAAGCACGATTTTCAAACGATTTTCAAGCTGCCTGCAAAGTGAGATACAATTCGAGCTTCGAGTTGCGAGTTGATTTTTTTTGTTGCACTTGAAATGTTTCGCTCTGAGCTTAACTCGTTGCTTGTTAACGTTGTTGTTGTTGTTGTTTTCCTTTACTGCTGCTATGTAGAGGCAGTCTAAAAGCGACGCGTACGCGATGTCTCGCCCTGCTTAAGTATCTGCTCCAGGCGTCTTCTTTCCTTGACAGTCAAAACCTTCTCCAGTGTTTCCAATGTCGAGTTGATCTCGGTCTTGGAGTGCAAGGGCGGCCAGAGGGTGGTAATGGCGAAGGTTCTTCCATACAAGTATAGTACAAAGATAGCATGAAAATATGTCAGAAATGTGAAAAAGGACTCAGTGTGTTGTGTATTTGTGTGGGTGTTAATTGCTTGGAAACTGTTCACTGCTGCCAGGTGCTGGCAGGTGTGAAATTCGCGACTTCCCCTCGCACAACCTCACTATCAGCAAGGACTATTTGCTCGCCTACCTGTGTACACGCATTGCATCGATGGCACAGCGTTGCATTTGCTCGTGTTTTTCCATTTCCCGACGGAAACGCTCGTTGTAGCGTCGAAATGCGGCCATGTAGCGCTTGTGGCAAATGTCAGCACTAGGGTTCGCCCATTGATAGCGTTGAAAATGAATTGTAAAATGTATTAAATCAACAGGAAATTGCAATTTTCACACAATTTGATTTGATCTGTGCCGCCATCCCAACCCCCCCGCACTTACTAGGTTAGCTCCTTTTCGTCCGGTGGCGGCCGTTGCCCGAATGCCACGCGTCTAGCGAGCAGAACACGATACCATTGCTTTTGCAGCGCATTCATCGGCCGCTTGAAGGGATTGGCCTCCATGGCTTTTAGCTTCTCCATGGCTCCAGGTGGAGAGTTGGACGTGTGTTCTTCAGCTTGTACGAGCACCTGCTCGCAGCTAACCTATCAATGCTGCACTGTTGTACGTTCTATTGGCTGTTGTTGCCGCACACTCTCAGTTGTTGCCACGGCGTCGTTTTGAATGGCTTTATTGAACAAACAAGCCGCTCAGATAGTAGTGCAACTAAGGCATGAGTGAGGGGCCCAGATGATTGGTGGCAGTTGCATGAAAAATGGGGAGACTGTTGCATATGTGCACAAGCTGTCGAAATAAGCTTTAGTAGGGAAAGAACCATATGAAAAGTGGCAGCTCAGAACTTATGCCCAATATATATATATATGTGAATTAAATTGTAGACAATCCTTAAGGAAATATGAATGTGATTTCTGCAACTAGAAACAAGATTTTCAATGCACAGTTAAAACTGTAAATTAATAGGTTTTGCTAGATTCTAGAAATTTCAATATTATTCTCATGCCACATATATTCAGTCGAATTCTCTTCATCCGCTTCTTAGCAGGATGTGTCATAGATTGTCACGCAAGCTCATAAATACATCCTCACCCAGATGAAAATATCGCCATAATTTATGTCAAGTTTTCAATGCCGCACACTATGTTGTTTGTTTTTAGTTATTTACAAATATTTTTAAGTTTTCACAGCTACGTAAAACTCTGTAAGCTTCGATTAAAAGTTACTCCAAAAATAATTTAGTGGTTCTCGTAGGCCTTTCTTTACCACGATACATATTTATTACTAAAGTTATTAAATACTTTGTAAATGGCTTTATGGCTTTAGAAATTGCCACTAAATAGGTGGGCTACTAGTAAATGAAAATTATTATCAATTGTAAGCCTTCTGCATAATAGATTATATTAATAAAAGCGCTATAAAGGCAAAAATCAAACAAATAAATCATAAAAAGGCTAAAAACTTATTTAATGTACTATAAATATTAACATATCTATAATACAGAGCTTGTTTGGAGGCCAAACTGTGACTGACAATCAATAAATCATAAAAAGGACCTGCCTATAAAACACACTTGTTACATATTTTTCTTGCAGTATGAAAAGCAGTATGGCTTAAAGTTTGCCTTTTCTTTCTAGCTCTTTTACATATCAGCATACTATATATATAGTATGTAGGCCAACAAAAGCCAAAAGGGTCACAATATCTTTCAAAGCTGCCAAGTCACCCAAACACATATTGCAGAAACAAAGCGAAGGCTACCAAACAGATGACAAGACACAGCAAAAAAAAGGCATAAAAGCGAAAAAAAGAAATCAAGATTGTAGGCGTTTGCAGTCACAGCTGTTTGGAAATTTGCCAAACAGTCAGAGCCAAACTACAGAAGGACTCCCAATCGAAAAAGCAATAATATAAAATGTGCTCTAATTTAAAGTATAAATTGCTGCATGAAAATAGAAAACAAAAAAATAAAAGGGAAAAAACAGAAAAGCAAACGGAGCTGCCAAGCCCGCAACATATGAAATTGTTGGCTAGCAGTTTGAAGAGAAAGAAAACATACTATATGTGGATATATCTGTGCAAAGCGATGTCAATATTGCAGTTGTGACGCGTGCCAAAAAAATTATTTTTATATTTTATGTCTGTTTGAGTTTGAGCGGAGCCAAAGGTTCGCCGGGGTTCAAGCCAACATCAACATTAGTTCACGGTAATGTCATGAACTTTTGGGCCAAGCATTTGCCCTGCGTCACCAACTTTTATTTTGGCATCAGCTGCTTGGCTGGTGGTGCATGGTGTGGGCAAATTGTCAGCGTTTATTGATGGCCAAAGCCGTTCTCTGTTATAGCTAAATGTTTTTCAATTTATTTGAAAAATAAGAAAACAATTTATAGACGCCTAGTCAGAGTCGTAAACATGTGTCTTAGGACATTATGGCCTACGAAAAATTCAGCGAATTGTTTTTTGTGTTGCCAGCTGTATCGGAAATGTGCCTTATTTTCGCATTTGTTCGCTCCGCACGCAGACGAGACGTATGAGTAATGTGTATGATTGATGTGCCAAAATGTGTAGCATACTTTTGGGCACGGGCTATTTTTAAAGTGGCCTCCCAGTGCGATCAGGTGCGAGTGAGATGGCACGTACTTCCTATAAAAATTTAGAAAATATTCTCTTGCCATAAAATAACTGCTGCGTATTTTTTGTAATATTCTGTGAACTTCTTGTTCTTATAATTAATTGAACTAAAGCTATTCAATTTTAAAGTACGCTGTTCTAATGGTTTAATAAAATATAAATAATATGCAACTCTAATTTCAAGCAAATCAATTACTTCATACTTACAAGAGAGAGCAATCTTTTCACTTGTCTGGGGGACCTCAATACGTTTTCAATAGTGTAATAAGAAAGAAAAATGGAGAAAGTCTTATTAGAACAAACAAACCTCTATAACATAGCGAATGAAGTTTTTCTTTTGGGTATTGGGTAATTAATTGAAAGGTTTGTTCGACTGTAAAATCTACTTTTATTTAAGTATCCAATTAAACTTACTTAAAATATGTTTTTTTTTCTCCAATATATATTGATAATGCAGATACGTGTTCTATCAATAAAGATAATAGTATTGACAATGAGCCATTAAACGCACTTATGTGAGAAATATAATTAAATAGTTCCCTCTTTTAATGGCCACCTCATTTATCCGAACACCCTTCTTAGGTGGACACTCTTTCTAGAACATTCGTTCGATGTACGAAGCATTTAAGTATCTGCTTAAAAAAAAGTTTCCAGAGTACACCTAATTCTGTTTACCCGGTCTTTTTTTACACAGTTTTGATTACACACGGTTTGAAAATTAAAAAGTTTATATATGGTTGCACGACTTTATTCCATTTAGCACAATTCAAAATAACATATGATCAACATCTTATTTTACAAGATTTTTTTTGCAAAAACAGAATTAGGTGTATATTTAAAATACCATAAATATAAATATTTGTAATACAGCAACATTATTGCGGTCTAGTTTTAAATAGGCTAGTGAAAACAAAAACTATTTGTGTCACCAAACCAATCTTTTAAAAGTGTTCCTCTTGGCTCTGTTTAAGTTAAACTCTTAATCTTTAGCTGCAGTATTTTTTTTAAACATCAATTTCCGCTTTCTCTTGGCTTTATCAGTGAGGAGCTGACAGCTACGATTTGTAGGCCCAACGTCATCTTTTCATTAGTCTGCAGCTACCACTTTAATCAACTTAAGTCGTTATGTAATGCATAGCCAAGCTACAATTAGAGCTATGGCAAACAATTTACGCGCAAATCTGTTTACGTAGAAACAAACGAATAACGACGACCAACTGCAAAATTGTTAATGGCAAGCAGCCAGACAAGTGCGGGCGCCATCTCTCTATATTCACATACATATTTATGTATGTGTGTAATGTGCTCTACATATATGCATATGCATAGATATATGTATGTATATGGCACAATGAGTTGATAATCCCAAAGGCAAATACGCACACATGCAGACAGATATGCAAAGCCATAAAGCAACAATAATAAACGCACATCATCATCAGCATGCACACAGAGAGTGAGAGATGGGTTGGAGAGGGGGTAGGGGGTATAGGGGATAGGGCAGCGCTGTCAGCAAAAAGTATGAAATATCATCTAAAATAGGAAATGCGTAAATGCGAAATCCTACAGAACGGAAACTGAACTGAAGCGACGCGCAAACGAATGATTTCCACCACTGTATGAAAGTCAATTTTTCATTTAGATAACTTTGACATACGCAAACGTCATGCGATGTGGGTTGATGGAGTCACGAGAAGTTGATGCTGAGGCTGAGGTTGGGGCTGGAGTGGGAGTGGAAGCAGCACTGGGCATGCCTGCTTCATTTTGCATGGCAGTTGTGCTCATACAGTAGTGGGTTAATGTATGTGGATAGAGCGTTACTTGCAAGATTAATATCGAAAATGTATTAAATAATTCTAAAAATAACTTCAGGCTTGATCTTAGTCAACAGGCTCGGAATTTATTGGGTGCGGCGTCTGGTGCTCTACACTGCATCACAATCTACATCTGAAGACTGTAGAGACTAAGATCAGCCGTTATTATTCGCTACAATGACGGACTGATAATGCACCACAATAAGCTAGCTGACCTCTGTGCGACTGAAAGAAGAGAGACGTCTGAAATGCTAGTTAAAGTTTTTTTTTTTTCTTCTATAATATCTAGTTCTGTTATTATTACTTGTAATAGATATACTTCATTGTGTTTAGTTCACTTGTAACTGTTAAATAGCTGAGTTATAGCCATTAATGCAGGCAGTACTTTTTATTTTATTTTTTAAATTTCCGCTTTATTTATTATCTGTCCTAGAATTTTAATTTAAGTTATAAAAATAACACTAAGAACGGCATGCTCTTAAATATGAATATCCCACTTAAAATTGTATTCTAAATCAGTTGGATAATTATACTTGTATATAGTCTCATTTTATTTCACATCTTATTGATAAATAAGTGTCGGTTTTCTGAAAGGTTTTACATTTAAATTCTAAATCTTATACTTTTAGAAAAGAAAATGTTAATCGGCAAAAGTTATATATAGTCTCATTTTATTTCACATCTTATTGATAAATAAGTGTCGGTTTTCTGAAAGGTTTTACATTTAAATTCTAAATCTTATACTTTTAGAAAATAAAATGTTAATCATCAAAAATTATAGCACGTAATTGCCTCTATAACTATTTCAATAATAAAATAAACTTTTAACTTAGTATGGGAATTGGGGTTAAGTTCTCATTTGTGAGGTTGTTATTCGCCATAACTTTATGTAAGTTTGATCGTTTCTAGAATCCACATGGTTTTATCGGCTAGGAGAGCCTTCCTTGCACTTCCACAATCCTAGGAAATTATATACAAGTACTATACACGAAAGTATGATTGACATGAAGCTTTCGCTTTATTATGATTGTTTAGATGCCTGGTAATTTGTTAATAAGTACTTAGTTCGATTTAGATAGATA